AATGTCTAACCGTGTTTGAGCACCTCTTCCCTCCCCCTCTGAACACCAGACTGAGCTACAGATCTGCTTTCAGATCAAAAACAAGTGCTAAAAGCCTTCGTTAAAGCATCGGACACAAACGGATGGGTTTGTGTGTAATAACAGAGATACACGTTTCTTTGGGGCTTCAGTTGGCCAAAGCTTTGCCCCCTTTTCTCCCCTTAATGTGCCATGATCGAACAAACAGCCCAGATTAATACATTAAAATCTCTTGAACGACCAACCCCTTGCAGAAAGCACTCAAACACCGACAGAAACATATATTCGATAAAAAGAGGACAACATAAATTTGTTTTCTTTTGCCCAGCTGCTACATACCTGCGAAAAAGAACCTCGCACTCCGGATTCGTGTTTGGAACAAATAGTTGGGAACGCCCCCCTCTCCTCCCATTGGTCTACGTTACAGTATGCGTCATCTAGATTTGAATACGACCCGCCAAATCCATAGGAACAGAGATGTACTCTGCTTTAACACACCTGACTAGATGTTTTTCTTTGTAAACAATGTCTACTTTGAAAAGACACATACATGTGTCTTTAATGACCTCAAAGTAAAGCAAAATAGTAATATTTCAAAATTTAACTATACAAACATAGATGATATAGATGTGACTGACAGGTACTGTATGCGATTTTAAAGGGATAGTTTACTTTGAAATTAATTTTTGATATGTTTTAGCTTACCACAAGGGGATCCAAGATGTAGGTGTCTTTGTTTTCCGCAGTAGTTTCAATTTTTATATTTTTACGTCAAACCGTTCTTGTCTGTCAGTCATATAATGGAGGTCTATGGTCACCACCTCAAAGAGCATGCACAGAGAAGTCCAAATTAAACATGATTTAATGACTTGTAAATGTAAGTACACATTGATGGCCTAAGACATGAAACGAGCGGTTTGAGTGAGAAAACGAACAGTATTTATATTGTTTTTAACCTATTGTAACCACAGCCACGTCCAAGTGATCTGGGCTCTTCAGTCTGCACACGTGCAGGAAGTGATCATGAGTGTACGTCACTCTTTGTTTGCACATAGATTTCTTAAGTGTTACCTTTCACTGTGAAGATCACAATGGAACACGATTTCGATATATCAACAGACAGTGTTGAATTTTTTCATGACGTACACGCACCAGAGACAGATCACTTGGACGTGGCTGTGGTTACAAAAACTATATAAATACTGTTTGTTTTCTCACACAAACCGCTCGTTTCGTGTCTTAGGCCATAAATGTGTACTTACATTTACGAGTCATTAAATCTTGTTTAATTTGGACTTCTCTGTGCATGCTCTTTGAGGTGGTGACCATAGACCTCCATTATATGACTGACAGACAAGAACGGTTTGACCTAAAAATATCAAAATTTAAACTACCGTGGAAACAAAGACACCTACATCTTGGATGCCCTTGAGGTATGCTAAAACATATCAAAAATTTAATTTTTTTAGTTTTCTTTCTTCTGTTGAACACAAAATAAGATATTTTAATGAATGTTGGTAACCAGATGATAATCAAACGGTTGACGGCACCCATTGGCTTCCATATAGGAATATGGAAGTCAATCAACCGTTTGATTATCGTCTTGTTACCAACATTCATTAAAATATATTATTTTGTGTTCAACAGAAGAAAGAAACTCATACAGGTTTGAAACAACAGGAGGATGAGTAAATGATGACAGATTTAAACAATCACTTTAATGATGTTACAGTTGATTTAACATCCACTTTTTCAGACTTTTTCAACTCGGAGGTGTGAACGAACGACCAGGCGTTAGAACACGCCCCTCGCCAAAACCCCGCCCTCGAAAGGCAGCTTTCCAGAGAACGCGGAAAATGATTGACAGATAGAGAGCGTTTCTGATTGGCTAAATAAGCGCGGGCCGCTCCCCTAGTTTAAAGAGAACACGGTTGTTTGTTTCCCTCCTCAACGTTTGTAGGGACGAGGATCGTGCTTTTAAAAATAAAAATATCCCAGTGGTGTTTCTCATTTTTTGTGTTGTATTAACTTTTTCATCAACACCAAAATGATATTATACTTGTCCGATTTTATAATATAAAATGATCGCTATTATACTTGATATAATTTTACATTATCATGAATATTAATAACACTGATACTCTGGGTGAAAAACAACAGGCAGCACATACATTCTTCCAATTGAAAACTTGCTAATAATTTTTGTGTGTGTTATTTTCACAAAGAATAGCACATTAGATTAAAGGGAGCTCACCCAAAAAAATAAAATTCTGTAATTTACTCACTAGAAAAGAAAAATACTATGGAAGTCATCAACTGTTTGGTTACCGACATTCTTCAAGATATCTTTTGTGTTTAAGAAACATAAAGGATTGGAACACAAGGATGAGTAAATTATGGCAATTTTCCTTTTTGGGTGATCACACACCTGGTTAAGAGTTACTATCTAGTAATGAAAGGTTCAATTAAAACACTCAGTCAGTATGTAGTTTTTCTCCTTCCATTTAATAAACTTTAAACACATGGTTTTGATTTGGTTTTGCTTAAATGACATCGCAGTTTGGACAACTCTATTTTGAGAATGACACAGTTGATACCTGTACAGTCCTTTCACATAAACATTTCACTCAATCCAAACATGCATGTGGAATAAGGCTCTTAAATTGCATATCAAAGCACTTTATAACTAACAGAACCGCTGCAAACTTATTGATAATCATAAGCTTGACATTACAGGTTAGTTTTCCCATTGACATATGAAACGAAAAAAAAAAAATAAAAGATAAAATTGGATATAAAAGAAAATATAATTTACATATATATTTTGGAGTAATAATTAAGGACACAAAGCGTGGGTATAATAGAAAAATACAAATGGTCACATTTTGTGCCCAGAGGCAGGACTGCAGATCCTGGAATCATTGGGGTGCGTAGAGATGCTTCACTACAAGAAAATTCAATATGAATTCAGTAGCAAAGACACCTTTAACCCACAACAAAATAAAAAGCGATTCTAAATGCACTTTTAGATATTTTAAACAGGTTATTAGTACAATATTAACAGAAAGAATTATTACAAAGTGTAAATGACTCGATTGTAGCCATCTCACATTTACACCACTCTAATTAAAGACTATATCAATTGAGTAATTGTTGCATTATAGAGGTTTACCGATCCACCCAGTTGATGTGAGAAGACTTTCCTCATCCTGGCCCTCTAAACCATCATCTAGAGTTTCCTGCTCTTCAGATGCTACTGCAAAAAATGTCCTACAAACTACAAGACATTTTCGAAAAGCCGACGCACGAAATACAGACAGGCAAAATATTGTCTATACATTTAGACAATAAATATGGAAGCTTGTTTCCGCCACTGAATAAAAAAATAAAGTAAATAATTGTGACTTTTTATCTCACAATTATGACTTTTTTTCCTCACAATTGCGAATTTATATCTCGCAATCTCAGAATTGCGAGATAAAAAGTCAGAATTGCGTGATAAAAAGTCGCAATTGTGAGTTATAAAGTCAGAATTGTGTGATATAAAGTCGCAATTGCGAAATATAAAGTCACAATTGCGTGATAAAAAGTCAGAATTGCAAGATAAAAAGTCAGATTTGCGTGATAAAAAGTCGCAATTGCGAGTTATAAAGTCAGAATTGGGTGATATAAAGTCAGAATTGCGAGATATAAGCAATTCTGACTTTATATCTCGCAATTGCGACTTTATATCATGCAAATCTGACTTTCCATCTCAGAATTTAGAATTTCTCAGAATTGCGAGAAGTAAACTCACAATTGTGAGAAAAAAAAAGTCAGAATTGTGAGATAAAAAGTTGCAATTACCTTTTATATTTTTCATTCTATGTCGGAAACAAGCTTCCATAAATAAATCTGCATTCAAATCCAGCGAATATATAAAAAATGACTGCATCTCACAAAAATTTGAGTAGTACTAAATGAATAGTTGAATAACTCAATGATTAGTTTATTTAAAAAAAAAAGGAATTCTGTTATTACAGTATTTATTCACTGTCATGTCATTTCAAACCGGTGTGACTTTCTTTCTTCAACCATCATGGTCACAAAAGCATCAGCAAATTTACACTGCTCTTTCCCATTTAACAACTCAATTAATGGAGATGGCCGTTGTCAAGCTCCCAAAAAAAGCAATAAAAGAGCCAATTTATTCCATTTGACTACTTTCATTTTGCATTTTTGTAAATTTAAGAGCTATCCACCATCATTCTCTCTCATTAAAGAGATTTTCACCCTACAATGAAAATCAAGACATAATTTACCCACCCTGGTGTTGTTGTAATGCCGTATGCTTTTCATTCCTTTTTGGACCACAAAAGGAGAATTGCCATTATATGAATGAGAAAATTCTCCTTTTGTGGTCCAAAAAAGAAAGAAGTGCATATGACATTAGAATAACACCAGGGTGAGTAAATGATCATGACCTTAATTCTCATTTTGGGGTGAAGAGGGTGAAGTTGTACTTTTGTGCCCCATGAAAAAAATCATTTAAAATTGATTTGAAACGACATGAGGGAGAGTAAATAAAGGCATAATTTAAATTTTTGGGTGAAATAACCCTTCAAGACAGTGTGTTGGTCTGAGAAAGAAGGGCATATGACACCCACAGTGTGACTCCAAATACCAGAAATTGTACACTCCACTGTTTGTTTCCATATTTGAGCACGGTCGACTTGAAGCTTCTGCACAAAATGCAGCACAACGTTACATTAGACTACACTACAGCTGGATCACTGAACATTTAGACACCCCCTTCAAAACAGTCATTTATGGTTACAATTTATGCTTCCATTTTGTTAATAGAGACAGATTAATCAAAAACCCACTGAGTTATTCCGTCTTTGAGTCGCTGATCAACCAAAAACGAGCCCTGCCTTATGATTGGATGAGAGCAGGCGCTGCCTCCTACTGATTGGCTAAGATTAGGCCTTTTCAGTCTCTGATTGGCTACGAGTGGGCGCTGCTGCTCACTGATTGGCTGAAAGCAGGCCCTGTCTCTGGGCGTTCTCTAGGATCGCGGTGTGGCAGAAATAGTACTGCTCGGGTGTTTGGATGCTGAAGGCACGCTGAGATCTCATTCGTCGAACCGTCTGGCAAATGTTAAGGGTCCCGACATCCTGCAGCTGGGACAGACAGATGTCCAGCGCACAAAATGTACCTGTGGGGAGAAGAGGTCAGTCTAAAAATCTATATATTACTCAAAAATGAAAATTCTTTCCTTATTTACTAAACCGGGATGACTGACTTTCTTCTGTGGAACATACCAAACAGATTCTCGTTGACTTCCATTGGATTTTTTGGGGGAATGGGAAACTAAATTGTTTGGTTTCAAACATTCTTCAAAATATCTTATTTTATGTTCTACAGAAGAAAGTCCGTCATTCAGGTTTATTAATAAATGGCAGAATTTAAATTTTTGGGTGGAGGGTGGTTGCCATCTCAAATCGCATACTTTTTGAGTATGTCCTTATTTTGAGTAAGTAATTACTTCACGACCACTAAAAGAAAAAAAATCTATATAGTAAGAATGTAATCTACGTTTGCCATGTTGTCATTATCATGTGATCTACCAGCGTCAGTTGATTCACCATGGCCTCATGGGATAGTAAAGTGTTAATGCACACTTCAGAATCTCGCCGGAACGTCCTACATACTTCTACTGCCTGCTATACAGTAGGGAAGTATGCGATTTGAGATGCGGCTCACCCCTTTCAGCGCCTCATTAATATGTAGATATGTTTTTGTAATAATGCGTTTAATCACTGACCGGTCCTGCCGATGCCAGCGCTGCAGTGGACCACCATCGGCGGGCCGAGCGGATGACCTCTCCACTGTGAGCCGAACGCCTGGACCGCCCACTGCTGCTGGTACTTCACGGCACCCAGGAAACCAATCAGGGACAGCGCGGAGGACGGGACCCCGTAATCAGGCCAGCTGAGGAACTGAAAATGAGTCACCTGTCTCTGTTCAAACGTCTGGGGAAAAACAACAATAAAATACGTTTAGAAACTGTTCCACTTTACTTTTCTTCACAGTCAACATTTGCGTTGAGACTATTTATTTAACTACCGTTCAAAAGTTTAGGATCAGTAAGAGTTTTCTTTTTTAAAGAAATCAAAAGTGTCAGTAAAGACATTTATAATGTTACAAAAGCTTTCTGTTTCAGTTAAATGCTGTTCTTTTGAACTTCATCAAATAATCCTGAATATGTTTTTATTAGTTTCCACAAAAATATGAAGCAGCACAACTGTTTCCAACATTGATAATAATCAGAAATGTTTAGTGAGCAGCAAATCATCATGTTAAAATGATTAATGATAATGAAAATTCAGGTTTGATAAGTGAAATAAAATAAATTAAAATATAAACCAGTTATTTTGAATTGTAATATTTCACAATATTGTGGTTTTAAATGCATTTAAAGAATATATAAGAATATATATGCATTTAAAGAATATATATATAGAATAAAATTAAGAATTTTATATATATATATATATATATATATATATATATATATAATTAAGAATTTTAAATAAAAATAATACAGACAAATTCAATTATAATGTATTATACAAATTATATATATATATATATATATATAATTTGCATAATACATTATAGAGAATTTTAAATAAAAATAGTACAGATAAATTCAATTATAATGTATTATACAAATTATATATATATATATATATATATATATATATATAATTTGTATAATACATTATAATTGACTTTATCTGTATTATTTTTATTTAAAACTCTTAATTATTTTAATGATTATATTGTCATTTGTTATTATGCATTGCTATAATGGTGCATATAAATATTTATAATATAAAACAGTGTGGAAAACATGACTTGAAATTAAATAACTAGATTTTTTTAACATATTTTAATTGCAACAATAGGAATTTGTTATTTTACACCACTTCAGAGCAAATACATAAAGACATATCCCAACAATACCAACAAAATTATGACAAATTTCTAAATATAATAGGGCTGTGAAACGATTAATCGCATCCAAAATAAAAGTTTGTGTTTACATAATAAATGTGTGTGTAGTGTGTATAATTATTTTGTATATATAAATACACACACATGCATGTATATTTGCATGTATATACTTTATATATTTATACAAAATTAATATTATACATTAATATAATATTTGATATATTAATAACAAATATTTCTTAAATATATACATGTATGTGTGTGTATTTATATATACAAAATAATTATACACACTACACACACATTTATTATGTAAACACAAACTTTTATTTTGGATGCGATTCATCGCGATTAATCGTTTCACAGCCCAAGTATTACCCAGCCCTACTATACATTATGAAAGGTGATTTGTGAAACTGGAGTCACTATATAAATCATATATGAAATCAATATTACTGTCTGGATGTTCATTGATCAACTAACAATGAACAAGCAAACATTAAAATACAATATAAAACTGGTGTATGTGTGTTACCTCTGTGTTGTGCAGCTCAAGTGTGGTTTGGTTGTAATGCGCATGGTTGTCCACTCTGTGATTGACCACAGCGATGTGCCCGTACACCTCCTGACCGCCCTCCTCCTGGGGCCAGTACTGTCCACACTTCCTCCGGCCGCCCTCATCCGTCCTGCAAACACACATTCACACACACACACACACACACACATCTCTAAGCAGCATTTATTTTTAATCCACTGTGACAAAGTCCATATGGCACAGGTATAATCTGATCTCAGGACAGATCAGTTCTACACAATCACTTTTGAAAGCATAAAAAAAACAAAAGTAACAAGAGTCGACTGAAATCTGATTGGTCTACATATTTCAACAAGTCAGGGTTCATTTTATCAGCCCATCAGGCAACAAAGTTGTATTTATGTTCCTAGACTGCTACAATGAAGGACAAATTGGTCATTGGAGTTCGTGGCACTGAATCTCTGAAGATGAATGTTTTGAAACATTCAGTAGCAAGAAGATGTAAACTCTTGAGATCAACATTTTGCTCTACAGTTCAATCTGATTTATGTGATAACATCGCATAAGACATTGGCCACTTTATATATGTTGGTCAGAAAACCTCTTCCTGTCTGAGTGGGTGCGTTTTGGCCTAGACTTTCTGGTGTTAATAAACCAGAATACACATCATTTCCTGCGTTATTGCTAAACTAGTCTCTCTGGCTGTATCTGAAAACGCATACTTTCTTACTACATAGTAGGCGAAAAACAGCAGGGATGCACAATATATCAGCCACAATATCTGTACCAGCCGATATATATATGTTCGTTTTTAATGTTATCCTTATCGGCCCGATAAGAAAAATTGGAGTGTATTAAAGCTGATAAATAATGGATTATTTCCTTTAACTGACACTTGCGGTTTTGAATCGCTTGAAATATGATTGGAATCACTTTGAAAAGGAAAATACATTTAACCCTCTGATGGTCTTCCTTTATGAGTCACGTCCTGGGCCTTCCCGGTCAGAAGTGACCAGAGGCCTAAAAATTAAACTTCTTCCATCCCAGTAAAACCAATGCTATTTATTTTTGTTCTATAATATTTATTCTTTTTAATTTAGTATTTTGAGACAATTTGATTGAATTTGTTAATATTTATTCAATATTTATGGTCTATTTTTTCAATGGAAATATATATATATATATATATATATATATATATATATATATATATTATTTAAAAATTATATATATTAATGCAGTATTTTTGTTTAATATAGAGTCTAGGCCTTCACAAAAAAAAATTGTTTTTGAAGAAAATTAGCACCATCTGGTTACAGTATAGAGAAAAAGCGTAGAATCATGGTGTAACCACTAGATGGCATGTACAGCTCTCTATGGAGAGGCATGTGAATTCCCCAGATGTTTATGAACACATTTTTTTTTGGTGGATTTGAATATATGATTGAAACAATCTCAAAAACTATTTCTTATTAAAATTTTTTTTAAAAATAAATAAAAAATTGTGAATTTTTGTGTTTTTGTCAATTTCCCATTCATTTCCTATGGGGGTCATTTTTGACCAAAGACCAAAATTGTGACTAATTTTTATACGACCACTTAGCATTCTCGGATCATGACCTCAATTTTTTTTTGTGTTCACATACCTAATGCCAGAAAAGTCATCAAGTTTCGTAACACTCCGATGAAGCTGTGATTTTTAAAAATTCAAAACATACTTTTTGTAATCAAAATTTATTGGTGTGTATGTGTATAAAAGTGTGTTTGTATGCGTGTGTGTGTTGGTGGGTGTGTCTGTTTTGCACTCTAAATGTTGTAGAGTGTCACCCCTCTCCTGCGGTGTACTTTTTTTTTTTTTTTTACAATTGAGGCCGATTTGTAGATTGCACAAACAAAAATTCAGAGAATTATTGTTGTTTTTTTGTAAATTTCATACCATTCATTTCCTATGGGTCAGTCATTTCTGACCGAAGACCACAAATGTGACAATTTTTTTAAGACCACTTAGCATGCTCGGATCATGACCTCACTTTTTTTTTGTATTCACATACCAAATGCCAAAAAAGTCACCAAGTTTCATAATCTTCCGATGAAGCTGTGATTTTTAATAATTCAAAACAAAAAATTATTCGGTCAGAAGTGACCGAGGACCATCAGAGTGTTAAGTGCAACATACAAGTCTGTCATATAGGTTTAATAAAATTATAATTTGTATGCTTGGGACATGGTGAGACTATTGTTTTTGTAATAAGGCTCTCAAAAAATATATAAAATTTGTTTTTAGATTTACCGGCCAATATATCGGTTATCGGCTTTCAAATATAAAGAATTATTGGTATCGGACGAAATTTTCATATTGATGCATCCCGAAAAGATAGTCTGTGACAAAAGTAGTATTTCCTAATTCATTGTACTAATAAAACAGTAGTCAAAAAGTCCTTTTTACAGAGTTCATACTTTTCAATCACTAAAAAATAACGTTCTGTATAGCAAGTACTTATTGAAAATAAGTAACTAATCAAGAGAGTACATGATTCGGACACAGCCTCCTCTGTGACGTATTACCTTGTTGTCATGACAATGACAAGCACACTTTGCTCCCAAACCATTCTCCAGAAATCTCCATAGGTTTTCTCCAGTGGGCCTGTTACAAAACAACAGATGCATTAGTTCCAGTTTAGGTTAAAAATCATTACACTAAATCTAATTTATAAATTGCGTGATTATTTTTACCCTGAGTCCCAATATATGCATTTTTCTGTTTGTATCCATCCATGAAGCTGGCATTTATGTAATCTGATCTCTGTGGAAAGAAAACAAAAGATCAATGTCCAATCAGAATATGCACCACCATTCAATTAATACTTTTAATCTGTTTAAGTTTCTATTCGTCAAAGAATATTGAAAAAATTATTAAGCAGCACAGCTGTGTTCAACATTGATGATAATAATTAGAAATGTTTCTTGAGCATCAAATCATTATATTAGAATGATTTCTGAAGGATCATGTGACACTGAAGACTGGAGTCATGATGCTGAAAATTCAGCTTTGATCACAGGAATTACGTTTTAATATATTTAATCTATTCAAATAGAAAATAATTTAAATTGTAACAATGTTTCACAAATAAAGCTAAATATAGCCTTGAGGAGCAGAAGAGAATTTCTCTAAAACTTAAAAAAAAAAAAAAACCACGTTTGAACAAAGACAAACCTCGTTTCTCCTCGCTTTGAGTCGCACGCGAGTCTGATCGAGACACAGCACGTCGCCATAGCGGTTCCGCTCCTGGTTGTGAGGAGCCCTGCAAAAGATCAACGACAATGTGAAATCCAATTATTGCGCACAAATTATCAGTGCATGTTATTCTGAGAAACTTTCTTCTCATATAGTGTTGATTTTGTCTTTGACTGCACAGGCCCAGTGAATAAAATTAAGTCCCACCCGGGGTTACTATCATTATCTTAAAATATTACAAACATTTTGGTTAATTGAAATAAAGCAGAAATAATATTAAATATAAACGTTAGATGAAAAATTTTAAGATTAGAAATGTTGTCTTGGCAAATGTCCTGTTTCTTAAAGGGATAGTTCACTTTGAAATTAATTTTTGGTATGTTTTAGCTTACCTCAAGGGCATCCAAGATGTAGGTGTCTTTGTTTCCACAGTATTTTCAATTTTGATATTTTTAGGTCAAACCGTTCTTGTCTGTCAGTCATATAATGGAGGTCTATGGTCACCACCTCAAAGAGCATGAACAGAGAAGTCCAAATTAAACATGATTTAATGACTCGTAAATGTAAGTACACATTGATGGTCTAAGACACAAAACGAGCGGTTTGTGTGAGAAAACGAACAGTATTTATATCGTTTTTACTTCTTGTAACCACAGCCACGTCCAAGTGATCTGAGGGCGTGGGCGCTTCTGTCTGCGCAAGCGCGCTAGCGAGCACCATTTCCTGTATATCTAAATATGTGTAGATCTTCACAGTGAAAGGTAAAACTTCCGAAATCTCTGTGTAAACAATGAGTGACGTACACGCACGAGAGATCACTTCCTGGGCTTTCCGGCGTATGCGCAGACAGAAGCGCCCGCTCCCTCAGAGTATAATGGACGTGGCTGTGGTTACAAGAGGTAAAAACAATATAAACACTGTTCGTTTTCTCACACAAACCGCTTGTTTCGTGTCTTAGGCCATCAATGTGTACTTACATTTATGAGTCATTAAATCATGTTTAATTTGGACTTCTCTGTGCATGCTCTTTGAGGTGGTGACCATAGACCTCCATTATATGACTGACAGACAAGAACGGTTTGACCTAAAAATATCAAAATTGAAAATACTGTGGAAACAAAGACACCTACATCTTGGATGCACTTGAGGTAAGCTAAAACATACCAAAAATTAATTTCAAAGTGAACTATCCTTTTAAACTTAAATAGTAATACTTAAAACGAACAAAAACTAATAAAGTTACTAATAAAGTTAGTCTTATTTTGCTTATTTTGTAAGATGTAGATCCCAGAACAACATTCCTGTCCAAAAACATTGGCCGCACCTGAAATCACATCACATACTTCCCTACTATATAGTAGGTGAAAAACAGTAAGCAATTCAGTTTCCAAAGAGACGGCAAAAAGTACCGTCATCACAAGTAAAAGTAAGATGATGAACTCTTAACTGTCCCAAGAGGCCACGGTAGACGATTTGTGAAGTGACACTGGTTGGTCACATGATAATGACAACATGGCAAATGTAGCTTGTCCAGATTACAGTCAAACTATATAGAACGTTCTTTTTTTAGCAGTAATGAAGTAATTAATCGTTCAAAATAAGTACCTATTCATGGGACTATGTGATTTCGGACCATAACTTATCCCTAAAATCAGAGGGAATGTAGAAGCACATAACCTTTGCTGTAAGCTTAAACTTGACATTAATTCTAAACCAATCCCTCAAATCTGATTGGTTGATTGTAAAAACCCCACACGTCCACCATCCACACTCACAGCGCACAGGTGAAGGTTCCAGTCGGCTGCTCTCTGCGAAGCTCCTCGTACTCCAGGTAGATCCCGCTGCGCTGGGCCCGGTTCAGGTTCGCCATGAGCTCAGCCAGACTCATGGCCTCAGGTCCAGGAGTGTGTATGGACGTGTTCTCCAGCGGGATCCCCATCAGCTCATCGACAGGATCCACACGCCCGTTCTGCTCGGACAGCAGCTGCATGTTCCAGCTGTGCACGTCCAGAGGCAAACAGCCGCCCAGGTGCTCAGGCAAACAGTCTCTGGGCAGATGCTGTCGCAGGTCGCCCATCTTCACCATCTGAACCTGAGAACAGGTGAAGATTGTTTCACGTTTAAAAAACTGAAACGTACAAATAATTGCTCAAGGAGCCCACAGAGTGGGACTACTGCGAGAAAAGTGGGGCAAACTCATTCATTCGCTTAACCAGGTCTAACCATTATGACCAAGATAGTCCGACAGGCTTACTTCCGCTGGTTTTGATTTAACCCAGCTATTGCCATACAAAACTTACATGTTGAATAGCAAGACAAAACTAAACATTATATTGCAATCCTTAATATTATATGTATGTATTATTTATAGTGTCTAACAATTAATCGCGATTACAGAACAGAATTGTGAGAAATAAATTCAGAAATTCAGTTTTTTCTCGCAATTGCAAGTTTATATCCTGCATATTTGACCTATTTTCTCAGAATTGTTTGATATAAACTTGCAAAAAGTCTACATAGTCACAATTACCTTTATGTTTTTATTCATTGGTGGAAACAAGCTTCCATAAGGGTCACAGAGATATAAAGCAAAACAAGATAAACTGTTAGTAAATATGTGTGTGTGTGTGTGTGTGTGTGTGTACTAACCCGTTCTCTGAGCTTCTCCTTCAGTAAGAGACTCAGTAAGTTATACGGGACCCTGAACCACACAGGAGCGCCAACGATGAGCACTTTCTTTAGCCGTGCTGGGAACGCACCCTGAAAACAATAGCGGAACAATCATTTTTTCTGATTTATTCTCATAGTTTTGAACATGAATGGATGGCAGGCATCAGAAACAGGAAATCCACAGACAGACAAAACACAGAAACTCACCTTGAGCAAATTGAGGATCTTTTTGCTCAGGTCCAGTTCAAAGTTAGTGTAGTTTGATCCAGCCATGTCATATATGAAAACCAGCCCGTTTCTCTGAGTCTCAAAACTACAGGAAAGAAAGAGAGAGTTAGAACTTAAAATATGTGGTTTCATTCAATGTCATCTCAAAGATGAATAAAGTGAATATCCAACTACCTACACTAGCATTCAAAAGTTTGTGAAAAAAGGAAACTCTTGTGTTCAACAAGGATGATTTTATTTGAACAGAAACAGTAAAATTGTGAAATATTATTACAATTTAAAATAACCGTTTTCTATTTTAATTTAGATTTACAATGTAATTTATTTATGTGATGCAAAGCTGACTATGATACTTCAGAAATCATTTAATAAGCTGATTTATAGCTCAAGAAACATTTATTAGTATTATCAGTGTTGAAAAGTGTTGTGTTGCTTCACATTTTGGGACATCCTTCAGTTCTCTAATAGTCTCTCTACCTCTCCACAGCTCGGTCCAGTAGGTAGAACAGCGCCTGAAGAACCACATGGTTTCCTGTTTTACTGGGATGGTGCAGTTTAGCCGTATAGAGGGCGATGGATGCCCCAGTTGGGTCCCGGACACCCTGTGATAACAGAAAACAATGAAAAACATCTTAAAATTTCATCATGTTTTCCTGTTTATATTATGTTCAGAGTCAACTCATCTTGAACATACAATGTTCTCTGTACAGCATACTAAATGTTGAAACAGGATGCAATGATAAATGTTATAAAAACACAATTGTTGTCACAAAAGCTCACTTCATTGCATGTTTAATTTATACATTTAGTATTCAGAAATAAATACTATAGATTAAAAATGTTAATCTAAATTTGTGCAAATTCAAAGAATGAAAAAAATGGATACATTTTTTTTAAAACTATATATATATGAAGAGTTCAGATGCAAAAGCCTCTAAATGCATTTGAAATTTTCTTCTTTAATGATGATTTTTATCAAACTTGTATATTTAAGTTAAGTAATTTCACTTAAATAACAGTTAATAGGTAAGTATCATTGCCATTTAAGTGAATTTACTGAACTTAAATATACAAGTTTGATAAAAATCATCATTAAAGAAGAAAATTTCAAATGGCATTTAGAGGCTTTTGCATCTGAACTCTTCATATATATATATATATATATATATTAGGCCTGGGAAACTCGCAATTAATTGCATCCAAAACAAAAGTTTGTGTTTACATAATATATGCATGTGTGCTGTGTATAATTATTTTTTGTATTTATAAATACACACACATGCATGTATATATTTAAAAAATATTTGCATGTACATACTTTATATATATATATATATATATATTATATATAAATATTTGATATATAAATAACACATTTTTCTTAAATATATACATGCATGTGTGTGTATTTATATATACAAATTAATTATACACACATATATTATGTGAACAAAAACTCTTATTTTGGATGCGATTAATTGCAATTAATCGTTGCCCAGCCCTAATATAATATAATTTTAAAAATAAAATAATATATGAATAATAAAATGAAAGAATGAATAAACAAATACCTGTATGCTCTTTCAAATAAACATTGTCGTTTTAAAAGTTTAGTCGAACTTGAATTAAAATGAAATATAATAATAATAAAATAATACTAAATATAGAAATTAAAACAAATACATATGTAAATAAATAATACAAACAAAGCAGTATGCTCTGTCAAAAATATATGGTATTTTTAAATGTTTTATTTAATTGTGCAAATTCCGAATAAAAAAAAGAAGATAAAATAATATGTCAAATATATAGAAAATGTCAAATGAAATAAATAAAAATAAAACAAATCAAACATATGGTAGTGTGCTCTTTCAAATGGAATCAACTTTGTGCAAATCCTGAATTAAAAAATATCATAATCATAAAATAAATGATCCTTAAATGTGAAAAATTTAATAACAATAACAGTCATGCCAGTTTGCTTTTTAGTTTAACGGAGGAGTAGTTTTAAATGTGTACACATGGGGGCAGGATAGCGTGCGTCTCACTGAGCTGTGAACAATGACTCACGCAGACCTTTCTGATCATTATACTCATCTCCTCCATTCAATAAGACACTAAATCTGGTTTATTCGCTTTCAGCCAACCCATTTCCGAATCTGCCAGGACACAGCTTTACCATTTATTAAATATTTACGTCAATAAAATATTTTCAATGATCCGATGACTCATGAGAAATGCGGCGCTTCTGTGCGTCTCTCTGGGTTATAAATACAAATGTCAGGATGTGAGGAGAGGAGCCATGAGAATGAGGAGGATCAATAAAGGTATCGGATGAACCAAAGGGATCCGCAGCGTCCAATCAGGTTTCGGGACTCATCTGACCAATAGCAGAGCAGCACCAGGCTAAAATAGTTAATGAATACATTTCCACTGATTCTATGCTGACCTGGTTATAATAACCGGGCTTAAAGCTGAAGTGAAACCGCATCAGTGACTTGTCAGCTGTAATCACTGGAGTGGAAATGAAACTTGGCACAGTATTTTTTTCATTTGTGAACCAGTAACCTCATTTCCGAGATTACAGAGAGCATAAACAGCCCTGATGTGATGTGAACTCACCAGCACGGTGAACTTCCCGCTCAACAGCTCAGAGCGCAGCGGCTCCTCGTGCGGCTGCAGTTTGACGATGCCCTCCCTCAGCCGTGTCTCCTGTCAGAGAAACACAGAGAGATATTTAACATACACGTTTATTTTGTGATTAAAAGATTTATTAATTACTTGTCTAATTAATATTACTTTACTTTTTTTTAGGGCTGTGCAAAGATTATTTACATAATATATGTGTGTGTGCTGTGTATAATTATTTTGTATATATAAATAATCACGCATGCATGTATACATTTAAGAAAATGTGTTATTCGTTTATAAAATATTACAGTATTTACGTGCAAATAATTCTTAAATATATACATCCATGTGTGTGTATTTATATATACAAAATAATTACACACAGCACACACACATATATTATGCAAACATAAACTTTTTATTTTGGATGCGATTAATCGCAATTAATCTTTGCACAGCCCTAATTTTTTTATTTGTCAGTGTTTTTATCTCCAAATCATCTGCACTATGATTATTTTATTTTATTTTTATTTTTGGGTTCCCACAATTTCCAAAACAAATTTTCATAAATTTTACAGTCATTTGAAATAAACTGTTTATTAATAAATAGTTTCATTTTATACTGTATATAGTTCATAGTCATAAAACTCTAGGCTGGAGGGTCCTTTATATGCAAGCTGCAAGCAATCACATTATCAACGCATGGCGCAAGCTGATTGGCCTCTGCTGATCCTGCCAATAAGCCAATGAGATTGCTGCTCAGCATTTAAATAATCTGTTTTGATGTTCGCTGTAAAAGTTCCTCTAAAATCATCTACCTCCCCCAGCTCTACCTGCCTAGATCTATGTATTTCTATTTATGCATCAGCAGTATATCTTACATGCCCACATCAGCAAGTCTGAATTTAAAGGGATAGTTTACTTCGAAATTAATTTTTGGTATTTTTTATCTTACCTCAAGGGCATCCGAGATGTAGGTGTCTTTGTTTCCGCAGTAGTTTCAATTTTGATATTTTTAGGTCAAACTGTTTGTGTCTGTCAGTCATATAATTGAGGTCTATGGTCACCACCTCAAAGAGCATGCACAGAGAAGTCCAGATTAAACAAGATTTAATGACTCGTAAATGTAAGTACACATTGATGGCCTAAGACAAGAAACGAGCGGTTATATAGTTTTTACCTCTTGTAAACACAGCCACGTCCAAGTGATCTGAGGGTGCTGTGGCTGTGATTACAAGAGGTAAAAACTATATAATACTGTTCGTTTTCTCACACAAATCGCTCGTTTCGTGTCTTAGGCCATCAATGTGTACATACATTTGCGAGTCACTAAATCATGTTTAATTTGGACTTCTCTGTGTATCCTCTTTGAGGGTGGTGACCATAGACCTCCATTATATGACTGACAGACAACAGTATCCGCAGAGAAGCAGATCGAGTCCACCAAGACCAAATACATAACATTGCCATCTTCACTAAAATGCTAAAACTATTCCGAGAGTTGTCATAATTTTAAATATAATTTATTGTGATCAGATTAACATTTACTCACCCTGTAGCTGTGGAAAAGCTCGATTGCTCGGAGGACATCAAACTTGCGGGCCATTAGAAACTTCACAGCTACGTCCCAGGACAACGGTGAGACACCATGTTGGGATGTCCATTTGTTGATCTCTTCCAAAAACTGCTTAGTGGCCTGAGAAAGAAAGAGAATCTCATTTTAGACCTTATCAAATTCAAGTCTACTATGATACATTTTGGTCAGTTGTTATTTCCCACAATACTCTACATGTGCACGTCAGGGAGTTTTGGGTTGGATTACGGCTAAGATTTACAGACAAAACACTATGTTCTCAGTCAGTTCCTGAAAACTATAAACACTCACATACAAACAAGACCATAAGCAGAGAGTGAAGCAGGAGTTGTGGAAAAAAACAGAAGGATGTTTGGAAGTGGAAAGCACAGATGATCCAGATGGGAGGACCAAGAGGCTTTGCACCAGGCATCATCTGATATCAAACGCAGTGATTAAATCAACTGCATCAAGACTCTCTGTAGAAGAAAATGACCTTACAGAAACTTCATATTCTCAATGCATTCTGGGAGAATATATCTACGCTTGACTGCTGTATCTCACAGGAGATACATCACATGGGCTCTAGTGTCTTCACTCCAATCAATAACTGAATTCAATCGAGTGAATAATTAAACTTTAGGCTAATACAAACGAGCAGCTCAAATGAACAGGATATTTTCCCAACATAATGGACTGACTGGAGTGCCTTCAGCTATAGATGTCTGAAACTATTATTCAAAAATCTGTGCAAATACCGCTCATTTAACCTGAAAGCCACATATAATACAGAAAAATAAGCTCTGTGTCTCTCCAGAGGATCCAGTCCACCCACTTGCACAACACTGAATCCTTAAAAGGATAGATAAGCAGCAAATCCAGGCAGACAGCCCTGAATCTTGCAGAATTCACCCGGAGACGAACTGTGCATTTTCACAGGCCGAAGTTCAATCCAGAAAGTTTTAGCTCATGGTCCATGAATGAACTTTGAACATCAAAGCATCACAAATGGCTGCAAAATTCACTGATGCTTGATAGGGGTGTGTAAACTTTTGAAGATGATTGGTGAATATTATTTTGCATAAATTTTGGCTTGTGGAATATATATATATATATATATATATATATATATATATATATATATATATATATATATATATATATATATTATATCTAGTAAATCCCTTGTATATCCCTGGTGTATATTTTTTTAGCATAAATTTTGGCAAATGGAATAAATGAAAATATAAAAAAAATAAAACAAATATTACATATATATATATATATATATATATATATATATTATATATAGTAAATCCCTGAAAACAGCAATACTACTACTAATCTAACTAATAAACTAATCACACAAACTAAACTAATATAATACATAATACATTTTTTTACAAAACATTTCGTATACATGATATTATAAAACATATTTTGTATGTTTTACACACACACACACATATATATATATATATATATATATATATATATATATACTATATTATACAAACAGAAATAATATAAAATATTTAAAAATACAGCAATACTACAACAAATCAGAAACAATAATTAAAAAATACAATATTATACAAAATACAAAAAATACATATTTTATCTAGTATTGCCCTGTACATACATACATACACACACACACACATATATATATATATATATATATATATAAATAAATTAAAAAATTAATATATAATGCATTTTATATATATATATATATATTTACAACACATTTTGTACATATAAAACACATTTTGTATGTTTTATATACAGTAATTAATTATTTAATTATATATATATATATATATATATATATATAGTAAATCCCTGAAAAAACAGCAATACTACTACAACTAATATATATATATATATATATATATATATATATATATAATTATTCATTATATATACTGTATATATATTTAAAATGAATAATTATAATGTTATTTTATTTATTTTTAAACATTTTAAAAATCAAATGCTTTTTATTCAAATACTGAAAATGTAGTCTTCTCAGGGTACAACGTATAAAAAAACTTTTAATTTCAACAATCAAACAATCTTTCAAAAGGATGCGTCTCATACATCCCATAAATACTATAAAATATATTTTATACAATGATAATTATCATCATTACTATTATTATTACATATTTGATACTTTTTAAAGGCAGTTTTCCAATGTTTTGAATATACGTTTAAGATAGCAAGTGAAACTTTTTTTTTTTTTTTTTTACAGATTCTGTAATTGTTAGTTTCAGGCCTAACACATGTCAGCATCATCACTCCTCTGTATTTTGGCATTAAAGAGCTCTGAGCAGGAAGACAAACACGCCATGAACTGAACCCAGGTCTTTCTCTCTTCTTCTCCCAGAGTTTCTCCCGTGGAAATGCTTTTAGCAGCTCACGTCCCCCAGGGGCCCCGCAGCCAGTCCGACGTCTAATTACTCTCGCACATTCGTCCAGCAGCCCCGATAAGCCCCTGCGCTGTCTCCGAGACGAGACCCCAGAGTGTCATTCACTCACTCAGCCGTGATTCCTTAGCATTCGCACAGGCAGAGACGAGCGATAAGACACTGACTGCTGACCAGTGGACGGACGGATGAATGAATGGACGGATGAACGGACAACTGGGGGCTTATTTAAATAAGATTCCCCAGCAGGACGGAGGAGACAGAGGGGCCTTGTTAAAGAAATCAACCCACACACACTTTCCCCATTTACTAAAACAGGTTACTGAGGCTTTAGACGAGACATTTTAGTACAAACAAATCTATTCAAAGGTTTGCAAAACATTTGTGCGCATTTCACGACTTAAAACAACACACATTGCTGCTGAAAGTGACCTATAAATAACAAGCAGACTTGTTGCTTGTAGATATAATGATCATTTCCTCTTTTAGTCTGTGTGTATTATAAACTGCTCTCCCACCAAACTGCTTCACTCACACACACACACACACACACACTACTCAGTATTTTTTTAAATATATTTTAGCAAAAGCTGAAGGCAATTGAATGCAAATAAAGAGCTAAATTTAAAAAAACACATGAAAACTGCAAATAAAGACTAATAAAATAAAATAAATAAGTAAATAAATAAAAATCTAGCTAAATAAAAAAGTAAATACATGAAAATGGCTAATAAAGACTAATAAAATAAAATAAAAAATAATCTAGCTTTCAAAATGTGAGGAATTGAGCATTAGCTTACAGGGTTTTTTTTTTTTTAAATCTGACGTTAATCAATTTCTGTAATTTTATTTAACAGTAAAGTATTTTTAAAGTTAGAAAAAAAATCACAGGATTCCTCAAATCCCTTGCTAATAATACTTAGTAAGTATTTGTGGCTGTTTTCTCATTCAAATTGTGTCACTTCCTGGAAGGATGACATCATTAAAGGGATAGTTCACTTTGAAATTAATTTTTTATATGTTTTAGCTTACCTCAAGTGCCTCCAAGATGTAGGTGTCATTGTTTCCACAGTATTTTCAATTTTGATATTTCTAGGTCAAACCATTCTTGTCATTCAGTCATATAATTGAGGTCTATGGTCACCACCTCAAAGAGCATGCACAGAGAAGTCCAAATTAAACATGATTTAATGACTCATAAATGTAAGTACACATTGATGGCCTAGACACGAAACGAGCGGCTTGTGTGAGAAAACAAACAGTATTTATATCGTTTTTACCTCTTGTAACCACAGCCACATCCAAGTGATCTGAGGGTGCGAGTAACAAGAGGTAAAAACAATATAAGCTGCTCGTTTCGTGTCTTAGGCCATCAATGTGTACTTACATTTACGAGTCATTAAATCATGTTTAATTTGGACTTCTCTGTGCATGCTCTTTGAGGTGGTGACCATAGACCTCTATTATATGACTGATAGACATGAACGGTTTGACCTAAAAATATCAAAATTGAAACTACTGTGGAAACAAAGACACCTACATCTTGGATGCACTTGAGGTAAGATAAAACATACCAAAAATTAATTTCAAATTGAACTATCCTTTTAAGGAACTGGCTTTTGTTAGTGAAAGGGATATAAGTGTTAGAGGACAAGTGTTTAAATGATATTCCTAAAAGATGTTTAGTTCCCCAAAAATTGGCACACACCGATGAACTAGAATTACAACTTAGGTCTGTTAAGTAAAGTTTAGTTAAGCCCCGTTACTAAGATATGTGTTTTATTTCCAAATAGTCTTTAGATAGTCATAACAAAACTGCTTTATGATATTTTTATGTTGCATCCTTTTTGAAGCTTGAAAGCTCCGTCCCCCATATAATGCAACTGAATGAAAATAAGTGTACAAAACATTAAAGGTATTTTTTTTTTGTTCAAAATTAACAGAATTTACATAATGAGTAAATACATTATCAATCTTTCCTCCAAAACATGTTTTTGTCTTACCCTGATTCACTATGGTAAGCCTATTATAAGTGTTTATATTTTAGACGGTGGAGAGACTCCTGGCTAAAAGAGAACAGGACAGAGCTCGACCGGCGATCGATTTTTGAGTTAAATCTGGGTAACCTTAAATGTTTTTCTTGAAGTTTTGAGACTTCTTTTCATTAGGATGAAGATGGGGGGCATGAGGGGTGTAACGACACCCTCATGTCACGATTCGATACATATCACGATATTGAACTCAGTATACGATATTATTGCGATACTCCAAGACATGAGGTAAAAGGTTAACAAAAAAATTTACTGTTGATTAAAATGCTAAATTTGAGATTACATTGTGGGTTTAAATGAACAGGCTTGGACTTCAAGGACAATGGTGACACCAGAATAACAATATTCAGTGCGAGACGCCCATAAAAACCGAGCGTTTTTCAGGTAGGCTCAAAACTTGGGTACAAATAGCCTATTAATTTTGATGTTTTTGAATGCAAAAACCAAGCAAACGTCATAAGTTGACCTCAGACAACAATATAATAACATTTAAAAATCCAGTTCATGACCCCTTCAAAATTGTACTCAGAATTAATCCCATTTGACTTTACAGTAACTAACACTTTCTGGTAACTTTATGGTACAGTGGTCTGAACTATGACTACCATGGTAAACCATTAAGGGTGTTTTAGTCGAGGGTAATTTAAATGCCATGCACCCCAAATATGATCATACTGGTGCGTGGACACCCCTCATAAAATTTAAGGTCGTGATAGTAAATTCGTGTTTTGAAAATATTTTGTTTCTTGAATGTTTCACTGCTAATCTTTTTCACGGACCCCCCTAAACACTCCCCCGCGGCCCCGGAGGGTCCCCGGACCCCAGTTTGAAACCCCCCCGGACAGTATCTCCGGGTTGCTTAGCAACAGAACCGCTGGAACAGAGAGAGAATCAACGTTAACTGGATCGTGATGGTATTTCATCATACCTGCTCCTCCTCGGCGCTCAGACGGCTGGCCATCCTCCCCTCTCCTCTTTACTCCGCTGGAGGCTCTTATTAAAGCTCGGACAGCTGTTTAAATCGGACAGTGGAGATCAGACTGGGCTTTTTTAGGCCCGTTAGCACTGCTCAAGCTAACAACCACAGCAGCAGCGCGAGACTCGCGCCGTTTACAGCTCGAGAGACAGCGCGCGCGGCCCACCACTTCAGCACGGCACGCGACACAACCAATTCATGATCAGGTCCGGGTTCGGGAGGATCCACATATATAGGCTATTTACACACATACACTAAAGGTGTTGCAGCGGAGCTTCGGTCCACCCGCCTGTGTGACGAAGGGAGAAATTCATCACGCTACTCCGTCGAAACTCGTCGAAGGCCGGTTAGTTTGTTTGGAGAAACTAGTTTATATTAATCGATCAGCTCCGCTGCATCCGGCCACTTTAAGACGCTAAAATGCTAGGAGGCGAATGAAGATCATCAGACGCGATCCTGAAAAGCAGCAGCAGTGAAAGATGAAAGATGACACTCCCCCTGCTGGCCACAATGAAGAACTGCAAGCTGCACGACGCTCCTCCTCTCCATTCATAAAAATCTCGGAATGTCCGATTCATTGTAGCGAATCGGTTCGTTTGAACAGTTCCTTTCAGTGCACTCACGACTCTAAGTGCCCTGATTCAAAAATTGATTCTTTCTTATATTCCCCATAGGGTATTCCCAGGGGTTCCTCCTGTCCTGTGTGCGACATACTCTTGATATTTTTTGTAGTGAAATAATTTATAGAATTAGCAGTATGTGTAGTTTTAGCTGTATTAAATCAATGTGTCGAATCGAATCAATTGCGTTTTTATGATTCAAAGTGTGCCGTGTGATTTGTGAATCATTTGCAAATGTTCGCGAATCAGATTCATTCACAGAAACACGCATTTACTTAGTTATGTAAATGAGTGCCTATGCTTCTAAAGTTTCCATAACTAACTAACTTACTAAAAGTACAGCTAAATATAGACCAGAGCAGTGTTTGATGTCAGTATGTTTCCATTCTGTTACAGATGTCATTGTGGGTTACTAAAAGGCACAAGGGCATGAAGATCTCACTGTTTAAACCTGACGCAAGAAAATCTGCCAAGAAACGATAAAGTCGATAAAACAACAAAGAGCTTCCTGTGGGCGGGTTTCCATTGGCTAGAATGACTGACAGGACAGCATGATGGTATCATGCTGGAAAAATGTGCACAATCAGGCAAAATAGGATCTGAGAACCTTCAATTAGAAACTACATCTCAAAAAACTAGACCGCATTTTGGCACACATCATGGGGCGTTTAGTCCATGTTCTGAGAAGGCCTAAACTGCAGATGTGTTTTAATGGTCATGACTGATTCAGGAAGTCATATCTAGGCTGACAGGTGCTGTGAGTTCCTGGAAAGCATACTGACTAATAACCTAACTCTCCGATTACGCTTTGGTTGTTCTGTGGGAAGCGAGCTAGTGGTTTCAAATCGACAAAGTTACCTTCACTATAACCGCCTGCGGATTTTTTGTACGATGCGCTTGACATACATCCTCGGGTTATTTTGATGAAGCCAGAGTTAAACTATGATGTTAACAGAAACAAGGCATTATTTGGTAGTTAAAAACCCTTTTTAATACAGAAAACCATTTTTATCTCTACTATAGTGTTGTATGTTCGACTGAAACGGCTTCTCAAGCAAGAAAAAATGTAGGGCGGGGCTTTATTGATTGGATGGTTGTGGTTTGCTATTGGTCAATCTCATGTGAGTGACAGGTTGCCCCGCCCTTGCGTCAGTATACACGCATCAGAGAAGAGATGCCGCAACATGACAGAGGGGAAGTTATTTTAAATTAAGATTAGGAGAGCACATGAATAAAAATAAAAAAGAACGATGTATATGGATACTCCAGGCAATTAAAATAATTAAGGCAATATCCCTATAAGAATGATTCATTTTGATTTCATAATGACCTCAACCCCTTCGCTGTCACCCCCCTTTATACGCAAGTTTGGTCTTGTTTTAAAGGAAACACTCAGCAGATTATTGCTGAAGTGAAAACACTTTAAAAAATGAAAGTATGAAAAAGTTATGGAAGTTTAAATTTGCATTAAATCAAATATAACCTACTGTACTATATATTTTTTATTTTATATAAAATATATATTTTACAATTCTTTTTACTCTAAAATTACTTTAAAATCTAAGCCATAAATCTAACCAAGTTATGTTCCAAATTTGAAGTTATCACAAAAATTGAAGTTTCCTTGAGATTTTGTTTAGGCGTAGTACCAAAAATAGCCACCGGGTGCAATTGAATTTCATTGAATTTAGTTGTATACATTCTGCCTTAACAAATTAATACATTTCTGTCCAAATATCACTTTTGTCACAAAATTTGGAACCTTGAGACACAGACCTTTGTGACAATATGTGTTTTGTCAAGATTAGAAAAGATTTTGATAATAAATTATGAAATATAATGATGCCCAAAAGGGGAGGAGCCTGATAAAATAAGTACTGTTTCTATGGTAACACAACATTCAACTATAAAACTGTTTTCACAGGATGCATTCTGAGTTTATAAGCTTTCAAATGATACCTCATTTATGATAAATATGTAATATAATAAAAAAGGCGATACAAATATATTATATTTTAGAGGATAATATTTTATAATTTTTAGAGGATAATATTATACTATAATTTTTTATCAAAAAAATACTTGATTATATGTTTTTTATGAACTTTTAACATAAAAACAGTTTCAATATTTAAAAGTGGGTGCATCGACTTTTTGTGACAAAGGTCAGAACTCATGATGCAGATTTTTTGAGGTGCACTCTTGTCATAAATTCATCAATTACTCTCCCTATATAATTTATAACACAAAACAGGGGTAGAATATCTATTTAGAAGTCTTAGACCTTTCCAACGATATATATAATTTGTCATAATTAGATTAGGATTTAATAGAAATATAGTGAAGTAAATTTAGGCGTCCCGGTACCGGGACGGTGACAGTTGAGGTTAATATATTACATACACTACCTTTCCAAAGTGTGGGGTCAGTAAAATATTGTTTTTGAAAGCCTCTCCAAGCTGCATTTTAAAAAAAAATCTAAATAAATCTGTAATATTGTGAAAATGTGTTCCATTTGAATATATTTTAATGTAATTTATTCCTGTGATCAAAACTGAATTCCAGTCTTCAGTGTCAACAAGATCCTTCAGAAATCCTTCTAATATGCTGATTTGCTGTTCTTATTTATCAATGTTGAAGACAGATATGCCGCTTCATATTTTTGTGTAAACATTTTTTTTTAGTTCTTTGTAGCATTTAATATTCAATAAATTTTCTTTGTCTTTACTGTAGCTTTTGATCAAATTAACACATCCTTGCTGAATTAAAAAAAACTTACTGCAAGACTTTAAACTTTTGGACAAAACAGACAGTAAAACTTTATTGAAGTCAACACAAATTTAAAAGCATAATTCCTAGGCTTCTTCACCAGCTGAATCTTAAAAGGATAGTTCACCTTAAAAGGAACATTTTGTCATTTTATCAACCTCAGGTTGTTCCAAAAACTGCATGAATATATTTCTTCTGTGGAAGAAATAAAGGTTTGGAACAACTTGATGGCGAGTAAATGACAAAATGTTCCTTTTTAGGTCAACTACCCCTTTAATGATCCAAATATCTACAGAAAACATTTAATTAAAAATCTATTTATAAAATCTAATAAAGATGCATGGCTAACAGAGCAGATGAACTAAACAGAGCGTGATGTATACTATGTTTCCTAAAATAACATCTGCAAAAAAAGCAGAGGAGTTTCATTCTAGCGATTATGGTTACAGACATAGGCCCATTTGGGTTACTTGGAACTCAACTGCAATTTTTAAATATAGCAATTAAAAACTCATTCACATTACTGTTCTCCATGTTCATGTGCAGGCTTGAGAAAAGTGCTCTCTAAAACAGTCTTTTCGTGGATCTCAGGCCTCCATGCTCTCTTTCTGATCAGTGTGGGCGTTCTCCAGCTGTGTCTCTGGCGTGGAGAGGTGTTCCAGTTCATAGCGGCCGTTTTGGTCGGCTGGCCGAACTTCTGTGGATGTCTTCTTGTGCTCCAGGATCTGCTGAAGCTGATGGCCTGCATAATCAGGCTTGCTGGTGAGAGGACACTGTGGCACCTCAATGCCCAAGATGTCTGCCACCATATAGGGTCTGAGCCAGCCAACCAGCGGAGTGCTGCCAGGGGTGTAGTGGGTCTCCTTGTGGTAGAAAAGAAGCCCGTCCACCTACAATAATGGAACACATTTTGAGTTTATTTATTCACATTTATTAACAACATAGATAATCAACTTAGTCAATGCTATTTGGCATAATTAAGGGGACTTCACCACTGGCAAAACAAGCTCTCAATAAAACATGGCTGCCTATACAGTAGAAGGTTAAAACTAGGGATGCACGATATATCGGCAACCATATCGGTATCGGTTAATTTTTAAATGTTATCATTATCGAACCGCTAAGAAAATTGGGTCGACATATTAAAGCCGATAAATAATGGATCATTTCCTTCTGCTTAGATGCTTCAGATGCGCACTGTTCAACATGATGGTATTGAATTGCTTGAAATATGATTGGAATCACTGCAAAAAAAGGAAAATTCAGTGAAGTGCAAGTCTGTTATATAAGCTACGTAAAATCACAATGAGAACATTATAATTGTGAATTTGAGACATTGATTTTATTGGCCAAACTTTTGTTTTTGTAACCAGGCTCTCAAAAATGACATAAAAATTTGGATTTCGATTTATCGGCCAATATATCGGTTATCGCCTTTTAAATAAAAAGAATTATCGGTTATTGGTATCTGCCAAAATTTTCATATCGGTGCATCCCTAGTAAAAACTAGTTTGATATCAGATATCAGGCAGACCGATATATCGGCAGGCCGATATTATCGGCCGATATTAGGCATTTTCCAAACTATCGGTATCGGCAGTTATAATGGCCGATAAATGAATATTTCAGAAATAAAATTAAAAAAAACACAACACGCTTGAACCATGTCATGAGTGTTGGAGTTGTATAGTTTGTCCACCAGAGGGCACTCTACACCGTCCCTGTTGGCAACACTCGTTGAGTTGGTCACAATACATACATTGCTTGAATAACAATTAAAAGAACATCCCCATCTTAACTCAAATAAGCATGACAAAATTCGTGACTATCATGTCCAGTTTTCCAAGCGGAATTAGCTAGTAATAGTTACGTTACATTGTTACAGTGTAGTTTACAGACTGTAGTTGACTAACTTTTGATAATGTGACTGAAGTATTTCTTTAATAGTTTGTGAGAGTTATTATAGCAATGAGACGTGTCATCTCTCCTTGGCCTGTTATATTGAAAATGTATGTTTTACAATTTGCAGTATGACATAATCCATTGCTAACTTATGGCTCATCATAGACTAGCTAACCACAAAGCTAGCTAATGCCAC